CCTCCACTCGGCTTTCATAATGTAAATTTCATGTATTTTGACATGAGCAGTTAGTTACTGAGGTTCTTTCAGCTCGAGAGCGTAAGTAGTAGTGTGAGACAACAAGCTTTACAGCTGATAACACAGTGTAGAAAATCTTATTTAAACGTCACTGACACTGATTGTAACCTATTCATTAGGAGTACGGATTTGCATAAACGGGGTCTCCAGCGTCGCTCACATGCAAAATGCTTCGAACATAAACTAGCCTCAATTCAACCCGCTCCATTGATACAAACCATGTAAAGCAGGTCACCCCTTTAAAGCTCCCTTCTCTCTTGTATGGTCAGTAAGAAAAGGGGGATCCGGGCTGTTTTCTCCAGAGAGAGGACCCTTGCCTCAGCACAACCTTTTTCCTGGAACGGCATCCCTTTTTCTTTTTGTCCTCCTTCTCTCTCTTCTCGCTCCTTCTTTCTGTCCTAATGAGGAGGCTAATCTCTCATGTGTAGTGAGTGGAGGTTTTTGTGGTCGCTGCAGAGGGAGAGCTTGTCTGTTTTTCATTATGGTTCTTGTGCAGAGAGGCAGCACAAAGGATCATGGGACTTGAAGCAGTGAGCATTGGTTAGGCATGCGGCATGTATCAGAAACTTCTCATGCACGATGTTGGTGTCTTTCTTCAAAGATGAGCTAAGGAGCTGATTTATTTTTCCTCTTCGGTTTGCTTTAGGCTTTATCTTCCAGCTCATTTGTTTTTTGTTTTTAAAAGTCTGACCCATGAACTGTTGGTGCTGTGAATATGGCGCCTTTTAAAGCCCCTTTAGTGTACAGCTCCAGCCAGCTGCCTCTTAGCTCAGCAAAACAACTGGAAGTCAGAAGAAAACGAAAGCCACCAAAAGTTCAGTAACTAACACATAATATCTTGTTGGTTTAATCCATACCAAAACAAAATTAAGTATTTGCTGTTTTTTTTTCTTTTACCTTCAGACAGAGCTCAGCTAGCTGTTTACCCATGATTCCTCTGTGTTTATGTTAATCTAAGCAAACCAGCTGCTGGCTGGACATTTTTATATTTAGCCTACAGTAGGGATATGGGAGTGATTTCAAGCTTCTCTTGGTAAGAAAGTTTAACTTTCAGCTCTGTGTAGTTTAGTGTTATAGTCCATATTGAAAGAGTTTGTCTGTTGTAAACTCTAAAATTAAACTCTAACGTTAAAGATAAGGCTTGACCATAGAGCAAAAAGTGTTTTCCCTACGTGCGTATAGGTATGTCTTATTCTGTGTATAGAGTGTGTTAAGGTTTTTGCTTTTTGTGAAGGTAAGGAATTTTTTTTGAGTACAATAAATAAGAACCAGCCATGTCCACTTTCATGTTAATTTTATGTTGAAAAATAATTTGGGACAGGAGCAGCGAACTGGAAGAAAAACAAACGTCCCACAAGCCATGTTTCAACACTGCAGCAATTTCACATGTGAGGTTCGTATTGTTTGCAGTTGTACCATGTGTGTAACAAAGGAAACACTGAGATGCGAAGGCAACATTTTCAGTCTTATTACTTTCACACAGACAGTTCGGAGAGAGGCAAATCAAAATCCCCCCCTTTAAGCTGAGCTACTGAGCGTACCGTGTACGCTCAGTGTACACAGTGTCCTTTCCCGTTAACGTTTGGTTTATGTTGGGAGAATATTGTGCGCTTTCTCTCATGCATGCTAATCCAGTGACCTTGGCAGTGTGTGGATCGCGGTGCAGAAGCAGAGGAGGGGCAGCGAGAGGGGGCGTCAGGCCAAATACTCGTGAGGTTTTAGACATGCTCCGATGCCCACCTAAAACCCGGCAAGGACACGCCCACTGATCCTGAAAGAAAAGCGGTCTGTGGCTTCCAGCAGAGGTGGCACTCACAAGTGCCTGCATATAACGCCATAACAGCCGCAACAATGGAGCATAATTACAGCACATCAGCTCCGTCTGTTTCAGACATTTTAATGGCTTCGCTGCCTGCACGCTCCAGGGAATGTACAGAAAAGTTCAGTCTTCGCAGATTTCAATCAGGAACATTTGATCTGAAGAAAATGGCAAGCAGAGAGAAATAATGGTGCAGCTGTTAATTAAGATGGACAGAGAGGAATGTGAGGTTAAGGAGTGTCATTAGGTGTTTTTGGGATTGCTTTGATGCAAGTGAAGATTAGGCCAAAACAGAAACATGTAATACAGTATACCATAGTTTTACACTTACACACTGACACAGAAAACATATGATACACTGACTTTGACTCTTCATAGCATAAAACAGTCACTGTTGATTTGTTTTGTGGAGTCTGAAGACACACAACAAAGCATTTTCTTTTATGACACAAACAAATCACTGCAGTTTGCTGTCAAAAAACATTTTCTCTGCTTAATATTCAGCATTAAAAAAATGATTAAATGCACCACTTTTCCCACAGTGCACTTTTGTTTTGTGTAAGAGCCAAATCAGTATCTGGCTCAGTTTGGTATCCGACACACATTTATTCACACACAAACTTCTTTTGTGACCAGGTTTTGCTGGTCAAACAGAAATGACTCACTCACTGTCACTGTCACTGTAATATTGGTGCCAGGGAAAAAAAGGGCCATCTGCAGCCTCTACTGTTTACACAGTGTGTCTGTAGTTGTAGAGCCGTAGACATTCACACAAACGGACAATTTAAGTGTTAAAACTGTGTGTGTGTTGATGAGGAACATAACATGAGGTGCCTTTGGTTCCTCCCATTGTATCCTATCATTGGGAAATCTCTCATGCACTAAAACAGGGGTGTCAAACTCATTCCACAAAGGGCCGAGTGGCTGCAGGTTTTTCTTCCAACCAAGCAGCAGCACACCAGACTTGACTCAGTTAATCAACTGATCTCAGTCTTCAGACAGCTGATTGGTCAAACTGTGTGCTCTTGATTGGTTGGAACAAAAACGTGCAGCCACACAGGCCCTTTGTGGAATGAGTTTGACACCCCTGCACTAAAAGGAGCTGGTGTTAATGCTTGACCTAAAGTTGGCTTATGTCATGTTCTGATGAAGCATGACACTGATGGAAACGAGTGTCCTGATAAGAGCATGGTGTTTTCTGTTGGTTCATCTGTGAATGTATTTTAAACACGTATAATTAAAAAGTGACATCAGATGTTAATGTCATTTAAAATTAATCACAACCTTGACATGTAAAAACAACACCACACTCTGAAACTAAGTGCGTACTCAAGACTTGATTTTCATGAGAGTGGAGGCAGAAGTGAAATGGTTAAAAGCAGTCGTCTTGTGTAGCTTTCATTAAAAGGCAGAAGTTTCCTGATTCAGATCCAGTAAGTTGATACACTCCACATGTCTCTTATTCCTACTGGTGCATTTGAGTGTAAAAAGAGAGAGTGAGGTTTGTGTGTCCCTGTGAAGCCAGGTTGACTATAGCTCATATACTGAGCTGAGGGTTTCACTTAAAGTCTCTGATTTGACTGAAACACTGTCTTGTCTATATCTATCTATCTATTGATCTATCGATCTATCGATCTATCTATCGATCAATCGATCTATCCACACACACGACTTGATCAGTTACAACAGCTGACAGTCTGCTGTGTCTGAAGGTGAAGCGTGTGTAGACGCAGGAGAGGAAGTTTTGTTCTTATCAGCCTGAGTGACACCTGTTGAAAGAGGCAGACTTGACTGTTTTCTGTGAAGAATGATCCTCATCAGGAAACATAAGGAGGATAATGCAGCAGGTGTGGAGATGTTGAACTCACCAGGCTCCTGAGAGCAGCATGAGCACAGGAAATAAACCTGTGGACATTTGAGAGAGACATGTGCATGTGTGTATGTTTGTGTGTGGGTAAGAAAAGCTATTAGCGATGAGTGTAAACCAATGTGCTTGAGCACTTCTTGTCCTCAGTTACTTTGTGATGGATGAGTAGAGAGCAGGAGACCCGGTGTGACTCCAGCCGGCTCTTCTCATCAAGAGCCTCTCCAGAGAGACACACACACACACACACACATACATATGCAGACGCAGTGTGGGTTTTGTCTCTTTGCTTTGGTAGCACTTTAAGACCTTCAACATATGCTGGTCTAGAGTGAGTGCACTTAGTAAACTGGAAGAAGCTCCTGTGGTGTCCTGAAAACAGACGAGTGCAAATTGAAGAAAAAAACGGCAGCAGAGATGTATCGAAGTGCGCTTTTTATGGGATTCTAGCTGTAGCAGAAACCATCTGCAAGCATGTGCAGGCCAGCTGGATTTGGACGTTTTACAGTGCCAACACAAATGACATCTTTTTTCCTCTTCAAACCCACTTGGCGGAGCCGTATATCATGCTATTCATCAAGCCACTCTTGGTGTGGATGTGTTTTTCTGTGTGTGTAGCCTACCCTATGGACAGAAGTGAGGAACATGATGAAGAAAATGTTTGAAGTAGCCCAGTTGATGGTGGATGAGGACAGAGAAAATCAGAAGCTGCCCCTCACACATTGCCAGAGTAATAACTCTGACGATTTCAGTCCTGGTTGAATTGGACAATCATGTGGGAAACAGGAGGTAAGCCGTCACTGAGCAGCCACTTCGTCAAAACTACAGTAAACCACAGAACAGTAGCAAATACAGCTGTTCAAAACTACAGGAAGTTCTAGTTTGTCATATTACTTCATATACATTTGATACAGGCATACATTGGGAGTGCAACCTGAATCCAATGCAGGAGTCATTCATTCGTTCATTCATTCATCTTCTATACCGCTTATCTCACTAGGGTCGCGGGCTTGCTGGAGCCATCTCAACTGACTTGAGAGGCGGGGTACACCCTGGACAGGTCACCAGTCTATCACAGAGATAACATATACAGACAGACAACCATTCACACCTATGTCCCATTCACACCTATGGACAATTTAGAGTTGCCAATTGACCTAACCTGCATCTCCGGTCTGTGGGAGGAAGCCAGAGTATCTGGAGAGAACCCACACGAGCACGGGGAGAACATGTAAACGCCACACAGAAGGGCCCCAGCTGGCCGGTGGGTTTGAACCCAGAGCCCTCTTGCTGTGAGGCGACAGTGCTAACCACTACACCACCGGAAAAAAGGCTGGTACAGTGGAACAGTGGTAGGTTCAACTCCATGGTTCTGTGTTGGGGTCGGTCTGTGTGGAGTCCACGTGTTCATTTTTCTCCAATCCAAAGACATGAAGGTTATGTGTACTAGGGGGAGGGGTTTGTTTTCATAAAAGTCATGAGGATGATGAAAAAAAGTCTTTTTATTCTTTCAGAAGTGAAACATTCATTTAATAAAATATTCTTATATAACTTAATTTGATTTACTTTGTATTTTTCAGAATCACAGGGAGATAACTTGGATTCACCAACACTTAGTGCCTCCGTTTGCACCTTTCAGAGTAATGTCGCTCCTTCCTAGCTTTAGTTTTCGGTGCAGATTCTGCTCGAGTACAAAACGTTCAGTGAGACTCCTCAATCTTTGTGTATCAGATTCCAGTGACATCCGCTGTCTCTCCCTCCGAGAGAGAGAGAGAGAGAGAGAGAGAGAGAGAGAGTAGGAGTAAGATGGTGGGAGAAGGAGACTAAAGAGTCATCCCACACATGACAAGCACAGGCACGTCTGTTTTGAATTGAGTGAGGTACCAACTCTCTCTGTCTCTCTGTCTTTCTCTCTCTCTGTTTGAACAACTCTCTCATACACCACATAGATTCTCCCTCTGTCTCACTGAGCCGATGTGCAGGGTTTCATAAGCCTTCAGCTGTGATAGGCCACTGTGCTCCACCGCTCTTCTTCCTCTTCTTCTGCTTCGAGTGTTGGGTAGGTGTCTGTCAATCCAGAGTGCATCAGGATGACACCTAAGAGCCAATAATTACAGAGCAGGGCTTCACATCTGTGTCAGCCCCTTGTTCTCTGCTTTAAGAGATATGCAGTTTTTTCTGCACTGACCTCATCCTTGGTACATGTGCGTGGGGGAAGATGATGGGGTTTTTTTTTTCTTCAGAGGCATTATTCAGTATTTTGTACAATGGTGCAGCTGTTCCACATTTCCAACAAATATTCAGTCATTTAATGTTTTGTTTTTTTTCACTTGTTGCCCTCGTGTGTTTCTGCACATGAAACCATGTGGTTTTTGGTCCATAATCCTCACACGCAGCGAGGGCTGGACTTGCACACACCACCGGGCTCTGGTTATTATCTGCAAGGTGCAGCCGACTCTCGGTATGATGTGTGTACACTCAAATACAAACATGACGCACAGCACGTACACGTAAAATTGCAGCAGAGTCATGCCATCATTCACAGTTGATTACAAACAACGCAGCACATGTCAGCAGATGTCACAACCTCGGTAAAACTGATTCCAGATGATTCCAGCTTTTATCCACAGCCCCACTGAAGTCAAACTTTCCCTGCTTTCCCTTCGATTTTCTCTCAGCAAATTCTGGTGAGTTTTCACTCAGTGTGCACTAATTTCTAAATTTACCATTTTTAATGAAGCCAGAACTCACCACACTTAAAGTGATCATCGGGAGGGAAGTGTGTGATATCAGTTTAAAGCTTGTCTGAACTCCTCCAAGCAGTCTGCCTCTCCGCTCCTCACTGTGCAGACAAACTGTTTCTGTGCTGACTTGGCCGGCGTACAGCACAGCAGCAGAGAAACAGCGCTGCTTTCAGTTGCCAGCATCCACCAACAATGAAATAACCATCACTTTGCCAAACATCAGGAGTAGCAGCGCCACGATGACCTTGAAGTGACTTCTGTCGGCTTCTGTCAGGAGCTCCAGCGCCGCTATCAAGCCCACTGTCAAATCATGTCAAACAGAGAGCCTAGAAGCTGTGCACTGTTGTGTAGCGTCAGCTGGTGGAGGGCAAAGATAGATAGTTGTGTGTCGATGATGTTTTTTTTTTTTGTTTTTTTTTTTTACAAAAGTGTGTCTTGCATGTGAGATAAGCAGAGCTCGGTGTGAGATTAATATCAGCTGTGCTACACGCTCCTTTTCCTTCGGGTTGTCTCAACCTGGCTGTAAGTGAACCCCTTTGTCCCCGTTGCCCCCTTGCCTTGTGACTTGGCTCATGCTGCTTTAGTAAATCTGGGGCATGTTTATAGTCGGAGCTTTTAGGAGTGTCTTGGCAGGCACACACCTACCAAGCAGCCAATCAATCGCCCCACCAGTGGAGTACTATTAAACCTTTAGAAAAAAAGAAGCTTGATCCTGCTCCATTTTCTCTGAAATATGATGCATGCCAAGTGCTGGCATGTATTTTATTTCCCTGTGACATTATGTCTGCAAGCTGGCAGCCTCTGATATCTTGGTTACTTTAACGGTGAACGCACACTGAACACACTCAGCTGTGATTCAAGTAAGTAAGTCTTAATTGTTGTCGTTGGGTAAATTTGGAGGCACGCAAAATACATAAAGTGTATTTTTCAGTTCTAATTTGCGTATATGAGCTCAAGTCATTCTTACATCTGTCTCAACAGCTTTGGTTCTGTGTAAAGGAACAGTTCAGCATTTTTGGAAGTGCATTTGTTTACTTCCTTGCCAGAGGTTGTGTTAGTCCCTTGTCACTGGCAGGCTGCGTTCAGGCACAGTATTGACTTGCATGTTGGCTGCAGGCGTATGTGTTGCACTGTTTGTGTTTGCCTAGCAGAAAAGATCCATCTGTATTTAGAGGTAATGTATTTGCATGTATATTCAAAATCCAACATTTTTGTTTCATCAGATCACAGTGACTTACATCTATAGACAGAAAATCTTTCTATGATGTACAAATGGAAGGCGATTTCAGCTTTCACTTAGTTTAATACATGCAGAGGTGGGGATTTTACATCATTTTCAGGCTAAGATGAAACACTTCCCCTCGTGTGTTTCAATTTTAGTTCAAGACATTTGTAGCTGTTCATTGAGTGTGCACAGGATCAGTCAGACTCTCACTATAAAGCAAACATTTCTGTGATCACAGAGCAGCTGCTCTCTCAAATCCTACGATATGATTTTTGTCTCTGCTGTCTTTACCCTCACTGATGTGGGGGAACACAATGAAAGTACACTGCAGAATTTGACGTGAATTACTGTGAGGTTATTTTCTGCCAGAGGAGAAAAGATGTTCACTCCTTGAATGTTGATAGTATTGTACGCCGAGTGTAAACGAGGCCAAGATTTGAACCGATGGCACGTTCTCTTTTGCAGTTTTGCAGACATTCATAACCACTCAGTTTGACTTCCAGGCTGAAATTCAACCAACCTGTGGTACTAACTAATTCAGCACGTTGGTGCCGACAATAAGGCGGCCATATTGATGGTAGGTGTGATTTGATGAGCATTAGCAGAGGTTGAGTGCTCGACTTGGTGACAGCCAGCTGATTAAACAGCGGGGTGATGAATGGGCTTGGCGCTTGGCTGTGAAATGACCTGCAGTCATGCCGCTCTCGCCGGATGCTCGGCATTCTGCTGCAAGGATGTCAAAATGCACAAGTGACCCCGCTGCATCAGAAAGTGCTCTAAAAACAACAGATCTCCTAAAACTTCCAGCCTCTGCAGATGGAAAAACAAAACAAAACAAAAAAAAGGAGAAAGCCTGGAGTCTCTCTTTGAAATCACAGCAGCTTGACACAGCACTGATGTCTGTTACAGCTCGACCTCCTGCTCTTATCAAAAATCCATCTTGCAGTGCTTTGAAAATTATATGTTTCCCCCCTCCCGTCTGCATGTTCTTTCGTAGGTCAACATCTCAATCCAGTCTTCCTGGTTACCGCAACTCCCACTCTGTACTCAACTGACCTCAACTCCGCACCCCCCCCCTTACCCTCCTGCTAAGTAGCCCTGGACCGCTCTCTGAGTAAAAGTTTCATGAGTTTGTTCTCCTCTGCTCGTTACTCCATTGTCTGTCTAACAGGATGTCACTGTGATTTATGTCAGAGTTTTAATATGCTGAGGGAAGGCTGTTTTTGGTTCCAGTGAATAGCCAAAACCCAGGGGAGCCATGACAGTCGAGCTATGATATGTCCCCCTGTTGAGCGGTGAGATGGCACTCCTTTGTCTGCCAACTGCAGGGTCCACTGGGACAGAGTATAGCTCTCTTTAAGAACATTTAGGACATCTTTAACAGCCCTAATACACATTGAAATAAAAACCAGTTTCCCTCCATGTTGGAAAACTTGTATATCTTCCTGTCCTGAACGACAGAGAGATGACAATAGGAAGTCTTTTTCTATTTTGTTTTCCCTCCCTTGATTTTAATGACAGGCCCCTCTCTATATTGACTCCAGATGTCACAGCGTTTTGAACAGAATGAGGGCTGTTGATCTGGAAAGGGCTTAAGATCTGATTTTGGACAAGATGGAGCTTGTGCAGCTGGCTCTCACTCCCATAAGGGGAAGACAATCATCTGCCAAAGTGCCTTGAGTGTTAGATGAACCATTTGTTTGCAAGCATATTGAAAAGTTTAAGTCGGGGGTTGTAAACATTTATTGCAGTTTACTGGCCCTATTTGCATTATAGCCCAATGCACCACCTGGAGTGTTGGAGATAAACGTACTGCTGGTGTCTTTTTCTTACCCTCAGAAGTGTACAAGTTCACTTTGCTGGTTATATGTGGGGGCGAAAGGCTGTAAATGGTTAAACTGCGACAAATATTAGTGTTTATGACCCCAAATACAAGCCCGTAATCTTATTTGGACAAGCAAATGGAGTCTGTGACCCCCAGTGCTTTGGCTTGGGGAGCACATCAAGTGTGTTTAATATGTTTGGAATGGGAGGCAATAGATAAACATTTACAAAGATGGTCAAAGTATTAAGTATATAAGCAAAGCTTCACAAATATTTCATTACATCTGTCCTCTGTCTTTGAACTCTGGCAGATTCTTATAGTGTTGTTGCTACATATCAACTGATAACGTCCACCCACCCACATTCAGAACGGGCCCGGTGCTGCAGGGTCACAGAGCTTGGACGTCCTTTATAAGCCATCCTCCAGTACGTCTTGGACCTTGTGTTGGCTGCTATATTTGGTGTTTTTAAGCACTTTATCGTGTAGTAAGTCAAACTGAATAGTGACCAGCTGTCAGACCTCTTACTGCTTTCA